GGGATAAGAGGTCGGGGGCAGGGGCGGGTATCGGGGTGGTGGTGAAATTTTAAGCTGGGATGGGGGCGGGGATGGGGATTGGAAAATTCAGCGGGGAGGATTAGAGAAGGATTTGCTTGGTTTAGGGTACGAGTTAAGAAGTTCATCACATTCTATTTTTAACATATTTCAGTCTATCAATATAAAATAAACAATTTGATTGAGGCAAGTAAGAGACTTTTAGTATTATTGGAGAACGGATAGAAAATAACATTTACTACATTATTATAAAATAATAATAATTATTAATTCAATAATTTCAGGAATCTAAGTTCAAATTCAGAAACTAATCTATTATTTTTTATTCTAAACAGTTTTTCTTAAACTAGTTGTGCATCCCTTCTTTCAGAGTTGAGTATCTTTACAAATTCGCAATATGCAACCTCTCTGTTAGTGATTCCTAGGCAGATTCCCATTTCAATCCCACTACATTTACCTGCTAATCCCAATACCACATTAGATTTAGGAGTTGAAAAAAATGGCTTCTTTAATAGGAGATTAAAGAATTGAAAAAAATCTTCTCTGATCGAGGAGACAATAAGATGTAACATTGTTGAACCGAATGACAATATGCAATATTCCTAAACCTTATCATGCGGTTCTTGCTCGGTTTGAAGCATGTCTCCTCCCTCTTAGTCCCTCGCTATGAGGGAGCTTCTTGCTCACAAATAAGATCCTCACCTATTTATAATCATCCAATCTGCTAAAATCTTATGTTGTTCTATAACATTGTCCTAATTATTTATTTACACTCTAGAAAATTCTACTATTCTAAAATATTATACAAATATTTACAAATTTTTTTAATATTACAGAATCTTCCAACTCAACTCGAAAGTTCACTCTTTACACAAATAGGGAGGGTGAGATTAAAGTTCATTTGGTTGGATAGAACCCGTAAAAAATAAAAAAAAAAAATAGATTTGTTAAAAAATGAGTATATATTTATGGTTTGAATGCCAAAAAAAATTAAAACCACCTAATTATATCAAAAATATATTTATGGTTTGAATGCCAGTAAAGAATGTTTGCTCTTGCTTCATATCTGAACGTAACATATATATACCACCATATTCTTATTCCATTAAATTGTATTACCAGATTCTTATTTCATTAAATCTTATTCAAGAAAAAAAGAAGATAGAAATCCTTCAAGAAAATTTTATTTATTTATATATATATCTCATTATTAATAATTACAGTTGTTTTTTAACTGGCACATACTTAATACATGTAAAATGAAAAAAGGAATTAACTGAAAATGCTGTACAGTGCTACACTATCTAGAATTAATGGTGTACAGCACAATAGTACCTTATCTATAATTTATTAAGATAAGTTAGCAAGAAAGTTTGTAGGTTAGCTTGTTTAGTATACTGATGGGATTTGAGGATTTGAACATTGGGAAAAAAAAAAAAAAAAAAAAAAAAAAAAACATTCGCCATGCGCGACTGTGGTTTTACAGTCGTTTGTCCTATTAGTATAAGAATCAAATCCTATTAAATGCATTAAATACATTAATTACTTAAGTTTCTAATGTGGTTTTACGATCGTTTGTCTTATTAGTATAAGATTCAAATCCTATTAAATGCATTAATTACTTAAGTTTTTATTTTAGTGAAACTCTACAAACATTAGATAAATATACACTTTTAAATTATTCAACCTTTCTTCTTCTCTCTTCTTTTAATCTATCCATATGAAAATGTGTGCGTGTTTTATATATATATATATACATACATACATACGTACATACATACATACATACGTGTATATTTCTTTTTACAACTATCTTGGTAAATGAATTATTTGTTTTTTTTTAAAAAATCCATTTAAAGAAGGATAGTTGTAAAAATAAAAACAAAAAGAACACACACACATGTATATATATAACTAAAAAGAAATATACACGTGTGTGTGTGTGTGTGTGTATATATATATATATAACTAATTTTGTATTTTTTAAAAATTTCAGAATCTATCTTGTATATGGATTCTTTTCTTATTCTTTTTTATTATTATTATTATTTTTTCTTTTCCCGATTTTGTTCTAGCTCTTTTTTTTTATTATTATTATTTTTTCTTTTCCGGATTTTGTTCCAGCTCTTTTTTTTTCTTCAAAATCCAACTCTTGAGAATGGATTATCCTAACTATAGTTTTTTTTTTCCTTTTTCAGAATTCATTCACAGCAGTAATTATTATACACACACACACTTACACATTTCCATATATATATATACACGCGCGCGCGCACACACATTTTCATATGGATAGAAAGGTTAGATAATTTAAAAGAGTATATTTGTCTAAAAAAAATAATGTTTGTAGAATTCCACTAAAATAAAAACTTAAATAATTAATGTATTTAATGGGATCTGATTCCTATACTAATAAGACAAACGACTGTAAGGCAACTGTGATTAGCAAAACCAAAAAATAAAAAAACACCACATGCCATACCACTCGACTATCATGCTACCTGCTCTTATCAAGAATAAATATTAATAATTTTTCCTTCAATTATAGACTGCAAGAGACAAAAACTTGCTCCAAAGCATAGGCCACAATTTGTAGGTGGACAAGCTTCCAATCAGAAGGGTAAGAACCTCCGCAATAATATCCTTTAAATAAGGATTTAAACTAAGAAAAATAAGACTTAAAAAAAAAAAAAAAAAAAAAAAAGTACTCCGTCCGTTCATATTAGACGTTCATGTTTAAAAATTAAAATTTTTAAAGAGACAAACAATTAATGCATTATCCCTTTTAAAATGGAGATAGTGAACTATTAATATGAGATAGAAGTAGTAACTATTACATCTTTCTTATATTAATTGTCCAATTTTGATAGTATAACTTTTAAAAGGGACATGCAATTACTACATTGTTCCATTTTAAAATTACTGAGTTGTCATTTTAAATTTAAATATATATAGCGCTAAGTTTAAAAGATTTTAAAAAAATTAAAGGGCATGAAAACTTAACATTTATTTAATTTTACTTTTCAAATGATACATCTAATTTGGAACATTAAAAAAAAAAAAAAAAATTGTAAATGGATGAATAATATTGGACTAGAGAGTCAGATGAACAAATTATTTAGAAATACCATGTAATTATATATGTATATATATACACACTTGGAGGTAATTTGTAATTTTTTATTTATTATTTATGGGTGAGTAATTTTTTTGTTTTGTTCTCAGCTTCCATGTTTCTGAAGTTGGAAATGCAGGAGCGTCTTCACTTAACTTATTAGCAATTAGACGAGATGAGATGCCTTTTTAGTAAGATACAAGAAATAAGACGGTAAGGAGAAGGTCGCACCTTCGTTCGATAACTTTTACTACACAACAGGACAGAACGTCCGGATTGCAGTGATTCTTCCTAGTTTCGGTAAGGTCACCCCCGGGTACTCTGAAAAAGACATTTCTTTCCTAAAAAAACAAACAGAATATGGTCTTTCCCAAAACTAGATTTGTCGCTGTTTGGTTTGAATTTCAAAACATACTCCTACAGGATTCTTTTCTTTTTCATGTGTCAAATAGCAAAAGCAATCTTTTCTAAAAAAAAAATTATTACAATTTTTGGTTGCCTATATATCCAAGAAAATATACTTAGTCGAGTTTCTAGAGATTCGGCCAATTTTGAAAAGTGTAAGTTAAAAAAAAAAAATTTCATTGGATATTTGATTAGCATAAAACATTATTTAGACCATGGCTTACATGCCCGTGAGTGAGTTGATAAGAATATTATGGATAAGTTAAATTGATCTTCGGTAAATTAATTTAATCCCTTTCGAGATTTGACAAATTACATATAAATAAATCAGTCAACGTTTTATTACTTTAATTTTTTCTACACCCGTTTGTTAGAAAGTAACTTCAAGTGTAAAATTAATAATACCCTTATTTTATAACAACATATTAAATTACATTTTATATAAAGGAAGGACAAAATCATTATTTAATAAAATATGGTTAAGAAGTATGCCGAAAAGAAAACTCTAGGGCCTAGTGTTACGCATAAATGAAATGGAATGGAATGAAATAGTCATTCTCATTATATTATTTGGTTGTAAATATGAAATAATATAGAAATGAAATGGTAATCACCATTTCAAATAGTGGTGGTGAAAAGCGATAGAGGTGGAAGACTATGGTGGTGGCGTCGGCGACGATGAAAGACAATGGTGGCTAAAGGTGGTGGCAGAAGGCAGTGGTTAGGGTGGTGGTAGGTCCAGGGGTGTCGTTGAATACACGCGCCAAATTTTCAACAAAATCAAAGCAAAAAATGTTGACAATGTTTCCGTATATAATTTATCCAAATTTAAATAAAATAAGTGTAATTTACCTTTAAAATAAAGACCAACTCCATCACAAGAGTACTACTCATTTTTATAATTTTGAACAAGGTTAGATTTGCATTCTAATTTTGCACTAAGTATGACAATTTACCTGATCCTTTAAATAATTGAATAACATAATTTTCTTAAAATTAGAGTACAACAGTGCCTTGAAGACTCAAGACATAATTGTGGCGCGAGTATTTTTGAAAAATAATTACTGTCATTTTATTAACAAAAGAAACAAGTGTAAGGATACCAAAATAGAATGTCAATGTGATTCCTCTTCTTGTAATAGAGAATTCATTTCATATAATTCAAAAAGTATCCAAAATTAGATGCTTTATAGTTTCTTAACTCTATTCAAAGAATAGTTGTTTGGATTTTTTTTTCTATTTTCCGAAAGAAAGTCCATAATAATCTTTCCACTTAAATCTAAACATGGAGGGTATTATGGTCAAACAATAAAATGACAGCGCTAATATTCTAACAATTTCGGAAACCGGTCCCACAACTTTCAAATTTCAGTGTCCCAACTCCAAGCCTCGGCGCTATATAACGACTCAAAACGGAATCTATGTATATTTATGTTGTATTCGTTCTTTCTTTCCGCGTTTTACCTGCAACCAAACGGAAAATTTCGCCCTTCACTGCGATAACAACTAGGGTTTTGGAGAGAGAAAATCAACACTTAAATGTCATACTCTCGATTCTTCTATTTTCGAGAACAGGCATTGTAGAGAGAAATGGACGAAGATATGGAGGATTCCATTGACGAATTTTTTGTGGATTCAGAAATTGATCCAGACTACGAGTTTGACGCTGCTCGGTTCTTCGATTTCTCTAGGCCGGAATCGCATTCAGAGGCTGACGAAGCCGAGCGCTGGTTTGAATCGGTTGGAAGTTATCCGCCTTCACGTAAGCAACCATGATTTTCTTTTAAAAAACACAATAAGTAACTATCTTTTGATTGAGAATACATCAAATTGAAAGTTTTTGTATTTATTTTCGATGTCTGTATATTTTTCATGACGAATTTGGATAATTTGGATGATTATTTGATTTCTTATTAATTTTAGTTGAATTAGAATCACTTGTGGATTTGAAAGAAAGATATGAATTTTTTTTTATACCAGAATTCATAGTTGAATGGTAGTTAACATATATTCATTTCATATTAAAAATGCTGTGTCCCATTTATTTTATACAATTGTTATTCCTTCATATGCGCTTATAAGTACATGTATATATTTTTCTTTATTATTTTAACAAATATATTCCTTTCATACTAAAAGTGCTGTATCCCATTTATTCTATTCAATTCAGAATAGAAAGTTGACATTGTTTCCTAGTCTTACTACTTGTCTTGTGCTTCTTTTCGTTCTTCACTGGTTACTATTTTTTTCGTTTAAATTATAATTACAGTTACATGGAAGTGCTATCGATTCAAATTCAGAAATTTTCAGTCAGTTGTCCATCATTTGTCATATTTTTCTAGTTAACATTTGCCGGTCATAGTTTTTGATCTGTCCATGAAATTGCCTCACTCTATTTTTCCTGCTTTTCTTTTGAAATCGTAGCTTTGGTAATAAAGTTGGATTGGAGAAAAGTCATACATGCAGAAAATGCAAGTGCCTCTCCAGAATCAAAAGATGGCGACAACATGAATTTTAGCAGTAACATCTCAGATTCCGACATGGGGAGTGAAGCTTCTTTTGTAATTGGTGAAAGTAACAAAGGTATGCTTTATTTAATTATCCATAAATAATTATTACTATAATGATACCATGATTTTCAATGCAAGTACAGAGTGCATTCCTATAGTAGAAGTGATGGTGAGTCGATAGATTTATCTGTATTCTTGATATGCATCATCTGGTGAATAAAATTACAGTTTGAAATAGGGCGAAATGATGCTATGGTATCATTGTGGTACCAATTATGTGTTGAATGTATTTAAAATTGTAATCTGAATTTAGGTTGCAATTATAACTACTGAGCTTTGTGGAAAACTAGATTTAGTTCATTAAGATATAAGAATTTTAATGGTATCAAGTTCCTGACCTCAATTCAAGTTATGAAAGACAGTGCCATATCTTAATTGAAGCTTTAGTTGTGGTGCGAGGGTTTATGGTGAGTTGGTTTGTTCTAAATAGGTTTTTTCAGGTCTTGTCTTCCTACATGTTGATCAGTATGGATTTTGTTTGAACAATAAAGGTCTTAGCAGTATGTGAACTGACTAAAATATACAATGTTATAACTTCATTATATATGTTTGTGTGTGTGTTTTTTTTTTTTTTATAAATAAATTCGCTATTCTGTTACTTTGAAGAATCCTGCTGTAATCTCCCTATGGACAGCCTGCTAATCAGGTGTCTACATCGTGAGTTCTTTCTCTCTGTGGATTAGCCTCAGTATTGGCATAAAATTTGGCAAGAATCTCCTTTGAAAAGATAGTCTTGCGGTGAGGATATCCTCTATTGATATAAAACATACCTGACATTAGATAAAAAGTTTGATGTATCTGAATTATAAATCATACCTGACATAATCTCTAAACCTCGGGTAATGCACTTATGTTACTGTTCCTTCACTATAACTATTAGCTAAAGTATTTTGATGGCCCCTCCATAAGTTGGTTTGGTAAGCACCCAATATATCTGCAATCATAACCAAGAAATTTTTGAACAATTTCTTACCAGTCTTGTCTTTGTTGCCTTGGTAGTCCAGCAGTATTTTGTTCTGATTATGTACATTGAATTAGCAACTATAGTCTTGATGAGCCAAATGAGGCAGTTCTAATTACATCAGAAACTCTTTCAGAGTCTCATTAGAGGTTGTTCTTTGACCGCCATTTTCTGGAGATCTTTGTCCAACTTCTTCTAATAAAGTCAAACCACAAGTTCTTACAGAAATCATACCCGACATCAGATAAGAATTTTTTTTTAACTGTCCATGCAACTGCAGAGTTAAAATAGATATTTCTTCCAAGGATCGGTGTATGCCCCTTTATTTAATTATGAGCTTGAAATATGTTTTGCTTATAGATAATGAGAGAACCAACCTATGGACAGGCAATATGCCAAAAGTTGAAGATGGGTTGAAAGCATATTTTGAAGCCACTTTCTTTTCTTTTATAGTGCATGGGGTCTGGGATCAAAATTTGTTTTTGTCTTGAATGAAGGGATTTAACAAATGTATGTTCCCCAACAAATAAAACATATGTGTTCGCATTCTGGTGCATCCATTCTGCTTTATATAGAATAGTCACTTGATTAGCTGTGATCACATTGGATTCTTTTAAAGAAAGTTTTCTCATGTTTCTTATGTTTTTTCCCCTCTTCTCTAACTTTGTATAGCTTGTTACCAGTTCTCACTTCAGGACTACCATCTCATAATGACAAGGCTCAAGATACTCCAAAAGCTAAAACAAAGTCTGTAGCCAAATTATTCAAACCAAGGAGTTCAACTTTGATGAAGCCTACAGCAAGTCATTTGGCCAAGCTAAGTGGAACCCGAGAAGTGTCTTCCAGACAACTTTTGGGAAGGTATTTGTTATTATATCTAACTGGGATTTTGAGTTGTGATAGTTGGTAGTTGGGCTCTGAATTCTTGATCTACATTACAATTTAAATCAAGTTATAGTTCATTTTTTAGATTTTATTTTTCCTGGTTCTTGACCCATATTTCTTCTATATATTTTGTCGTTTTCAACTGCCAGGTTTCAGAAGTCATTAGTTACAATAGACAGAAGTTCGCAGAATCTTCCCGGGGTTGAAAGTGATGCTACCAAAAGGCAAAAGCTAGAGAGTGGTTACTTGCGTAAGGTGCACCAAATTTAATTATTCTTTTTTATGGTGTATTTAACATTATAGTGCATATTTTGGTGACATTCAGTCTTGTTATATGCATTTGAAAAGTAACTTCAATTTAAAAACAGCGCTTATGTCAATGTTTTGAAAGATTTTATGCTTTATTTACTAATAATCAAGTTGCTATTGCCTTTGAAATTTCTGTCTATTCCATCTACTTCCCAAAAACAGATACCAACTGGAAAGTTGAAATTGTGCTGATAAGTGTTAAGTGTATTTTTTTTAACCTGTGTTAAGTGTGTTTTAAGGTTTATTTCCGATGACAAGTATATGAACATAGGGGAGTGAGAAGAATAAGAGTAGGAATTTGCTGATTTTTTATATCCAACATGAAATCGCTTTTATGGTGAACCTGAATCTCGTGGCCAGAGAAACTCAATATTATTTTAATTTCATTAATTGGAAATGCGAAACCTGTTTTTTGATTCTTCCACTTCTTATCTAGGAATGCATGCATTGGACTCAATGTCATCTCACATAGACTTGATCTTTCATAAAAGTGCATGCAACTGTGTGTACATGATCTGGTAATGCTAAAATTTTGTGTTATGCCAAGAGTGCTTTTATCTGTACAAGTCAAATCCAGTTTTTACTGTCGATCTGTCATACCAGCTGCTTATATATATATTTTTTATGTTCGAAACCAGGTTGCTCATCTGAAGCACCAAACTTTGTTGTTACACAAGGTACCTAGAAAAGTAAGCTATCTACCTCGGGATGTAAAAATACGTCACAAAGATCAATATATACCTTCTAGATGATATATTTTCAATTATCCTTATATTGTTTAATACAGAAGCAATAAGTGGATGGTTTCCAATTTCCACATATTTATGGATATTAACCATTCTTTTGGATTTCCATTTCTTCTTTTCTTCATTTAAAAAAAAAAAAAAAAAAAAAAAAAAAAAAACAGGTTGGACCTATTGAAGCTAACTCAGTTTATCGTAGACTGAAAGGCACTGTACCAAAGGAACCTGACTTGGAAACAGCACATAGGGCACAAAGACATGGGTACATTCACTTTTTTTTCAGTCTTTGTTAGTATATTCTATGTCTTGCAGTTTAGATAGCATGATTTGTAAGGCTAGTGTATGTAATTTCAGGTCCAGGAATAATTCAAAGTCAGGTGAACTTCCAAAATCAGATGTCTATACCTTCAAAGCACGACCCTTGAACAGAAAAGTTGGTATTTGCAGTTAATGGAAACGTCCTGTCTTGAATCTTAGTGGAACTGTGATTTAATAAGAGGTTGACAGTTTATATAGTGTTTATAACATTTTCTCTTCTAAGACAATGTCTTTTCGGTTCATCAGATTCTTAAGGCTCCTTCACTTCCCCTTCACAAAAGGAGAGTACCACAATTGCCGGAGTTTCAAGTAAATAGTCAAAACTTGTTCATATGCCTTTTTTGGTAGTAGTAATTTCTTAGAAGCATTGTGGTACACCATTTCACCAGAGTAACAAGTCTTCTGTACAGTGTTTTGACTGTCTTTCCCTTTATTATATTACTCTTTAGGTGTTCAACTTAAAGACTTCAGAAAGGGCGGTGCAACACTTATTTGCTAAAGTAGGTCATTAAATTTGTTAATATGTGTTGGATATATATATATATATATATATATATATATTCTCATTTTCTGTTTCTCTGTTGATATGCTTAGCCCCCCTCCCTCCTTTTCTCGCTCTCTGTTTATTTATTATTTCTTTGTAAAACATGTTTAGTATGCACTTTGTATTGATTATGCTCTAATTTTGTGAACACAGGCACAATATGAGACAAGCTCCAGAAGGTAATAGTTTTCGACTTTCAACCTCTTTGACCTTAAAGCTAAACATTCATATTGCATTTCTTTTCCAGCATCACTAGTACAATTGTGTTCAATAATATATTTATGAATGGTTTTCCTATCTCCATTTTGCTGCTTGCATAGAGCAAGGTTTGGTGAAATAATTTTTCTTCTGTTTCTATTTCTACATCTGTTTCTTCCACACTTTCTTTCCTCCCTTCCATTTTGGAGGTTTCTTTTAGTTTCAAATGTCCAAGACTAGAAGTGTCATTTTCTTAAGTGGTAAACAATTACACATTTAAATTTTAATATCAGCTTGTAGTAAGGAGTGCACTCCACTGCCCAGATTTTTCCTGATGCAGTTGTCTCATTTGAAGCTTCTTATAATATATCACCGTTTAGATGATTGTGGCTGGTTCATACATACTGACACCTCTGTTTTTTCAGACTAAACACTGAAGATGCCTTCAAGCAGGAAAAATGTGAAATATGTCACAAAGCTAGCCCTCTTAGTAAGAAGGTGAACTTTCGACTTGTATGAACCTCTTTGGGTTTTAGTGGCAACACCATGAAGCTGTATTGTGTTTGATACAGAAATTCTAAATTCAAAGAGGAGATGTTAGTCAGGATTTTATACAGGAAATCACATGTTTAATGGATATCTTCTTATAAATGTTTGATGCTTATTTTATTTATTTATTTATTTTACACTAATTATACTTTTTAATTTTCCATCATTTCCTTATCACAGGATTTTAAGTTTCCACTTGATAAGAGGTTGCAAAATCCACCAATAGAATTATTTACTAAGGTAATGCATACATCTAGGTCCATCTATGTTCTTCTACCCAGGAACTAAGTTTTTTATTCTCTTAACCAGCAATATTCTCATCTCATTCTGACAAGTAAAGTTCTAAATCTATTTGCCAGCTTTCTCTCAAGTCAGAGCTCAAGTCTAATGCATTATCTCAGCCAAAACCGCACATGTCCACCAAGGTTAGTTCCTTGAAATGTTTTACTGTAGAATGCAGAAAACCCTTTTTTTATTATTTTTTTTTATGTTTTTCTGAATTCAGCCATCTTACGCTAATACTATGTGTATTGCTTGATTATAGGGCTCAAAAGAAAATGTACCAGGTTCCTTTCAACAAAATTATTGGGTATGATAGTGTTGCACTTCTTTCTATTTTCATTTTCAGTTTCACTAGTGATTGGTTCTGCGTGCAAACCTCAAAATGCAGAGATATGGGATAAATCATAATCAATGTGGGAGCGACTTGAAGAACCCTGAAATCGGACCCCTATCTAACGTTAACAGGTAGCATTGCATATTGATAACAGCCATTTGAAGAAGATAGTCATCTATATATTTCACATTTATATTTGTGAGAAACAATCACACTTGCCTGAATCTATATGACCCATGTTTTTGATATAGTTAAATCTTGTGCGGTTAAATTAGAGAGTTTACAACTTTCCAGCTTCCCAACTACCACCTATAATTTACTTCATCTAATCTTTCATAGATAACTATGAAGTTCAGTTTTACTCTTTGTTCTTGTCCATGATACATCAAAATAACATGTTGTAATGTCATTCCTTTGGGACATAACTTGTCTGTTCTTTCTTAGTGTTTCTCAGGAGACGTTGGAGTTGATGCAATTTTCATAGGAATTTATGAAAGGCAATCTTTTATCTCTAAAAAAAAAAACCAGTTTCAAATTTGTGCCTCAAAGGGTTCAATAATTTGGCAATGTAAACAGAATTGTGATTGTTATTAGCAATTTGTGGTATCAACTTGCATTGAGGCCACCATTTGAGATTAAATGCCAAATGCTCTCGAGGCATTCTTCCATTCATTCTGAAGCTGCAGTGTCTTAAGTTGCTAATCAATTGAAAAAAAAACAAGGCCTTAGTTTCATGTGCTAAAGTGCTTAAATAGACTCTGTCATTTTCAAAGCACTAGCATGCATTTGTTTGAAATGTTACAATTTTCAACTTCTGGGATGTACATATCAAACATAGATTCATAGCGTTGTTAATGAGTTGATTGTTATAGCTTGCAAAGATCGTTTTAGGAATTCATCTGCTGATTTTTTAATTTCTTACATCTGTTCATGATGATGCCTCCAACTTTTACAATTGCTCATGCCCATTTCACAATGGATCAATTTGGGCCTTTAAATGCTATATGGAAAGCGTGCCCTTCTATTTTTCTGTATTGTCTTGACAATTTTTAGATACGACTCTTGGAAGTCTTGATTTATTAGATCTAATTATGGCACAGGAGCATGGACATCCATTGACTGTAAGAGGAAGAAGTTGTTTAAATGATACTGTCAATTTATTGAGTTTCCGCAGTCAGAAAGACTTGACAAGGTAGCAGCTCTTGATTTCTGGATTCAAGTCTTGTGGAAGCTTGTTCCTGCCCTCTGAATTGAGGTTCTGCCATAGAGCAAGCTCTCAGCTGTTTTTTATTCTGAAAATGGTGGCCATATATTAATTGAAATCTAGACAGGTTAGCACTGTACAGCACTAGGATTCTTCAAAAGATCAGTTAGTTGTTCTTAGAGTGTTTTTCTTTTTTTTTTCTTTTTTCTTTTTTTTTTTTTAAAAGGGGTCATGTACCATGTGAATAGTCTTTTTGAATTTAGAATTTGTTTTCATCGGACCCTTGTGAGAATTATAGTATATATAACCAATAAATTCATCTTCGTATTATGTATTTAGTCCCTTCAGTGATCTAGATTCTGTGTATTTCTTGTTAATCACCATTGTGGAATTGAGCCCACCACTATCACTTATACAGAGTTTTATTTCAAAACTATCTAGAATGCAATGCATTTTCTTCGTCAGGATAAATGTGTCTCTCCCAACCAATTACTCAATCCTGAACCACTCATCCTTCGTGTTGTTAACCAATACATCATCACTCAATCAAACCCGGCGGTACCTTCAACAAGGAGTCATCCGCCAAAAATGAAAAATTCAACTCATCTTTTGAGTTCTGTGCATATATGGTCTATTATCTTGATGTTCTTACGTATTATTATGGATTCAATCCTGTTTGCTGCTTTATTTTGAAATAGGGACAAAAATGGTATCCCGACATAATTTGATTAGCATAAATTATTTGGTCAAACAATATCAGAAGTGAGACGTGGTATTATTCAGTACTATTATATGGTTAAACAATAACTTATTTGGATTACTATTATTCACACCAACAAGAAAACGCGTGAATTATGTGGGCATGCGCATGAATTTGATCACCATGTGTGTAGGTCGTCGAGAGTTATATCTGACTTTTGATACACGATCAATATGCAACCAGTTGAACGTTAGATCTGAATTTTGATATAGAATCAACGTACAACCGGTTGAAAGTTAGATTTGAGTTTAATGATCATACAACCAGTTAAAAGTTATATATGGGTTTTATAAAGTCTTTAATGGTCATGCAACTAGTTGAAAGTTAGATAAGAGTTTTATAAAGTCTTTTAACGGTCATTTACTAATTAAGATGTCATCTTGCAGCTCGTGCTTGATCTTTAATGGTTGTACAACTAGTTGAAAGTTAAATATGAGTTTTATAAAGTCTTTAATAGTCATACAACCAGTTGAAGAGAGTTAAAAGGGACAAAAAATAACTTTTCTAGTTTAGGGGACTTTAAAATAATAAATATTGAACGATTTATTTGTATGTAATTTGCCCAAACTTCAAAAAAGGTAAGTGTAATTTACTCTTGAATTTTTAGCCAACTTATTAGAGATTTCTTTCTCCTTTTCATATTACACTATGGTCTGTCATCCACGACATATTACCAAAATTTTAACAAGGACATTGTATTTTTCAGCCTCTATTTCATGACGTGATCAAAGACGGGGCATACGAGTTTAAGAGACGTTAAAAAAAGTCATGATTTTAGGTTATTTATCCAAATTTCAGGTTTCATGTTTTTATGTTAAATTAACGTGTATTCAAAATAGGCCATAAGCTATTTTTTATTTTTTATTTTTTTTCCTGGCCATAAACTAAAATCACAAAGCAGGAATTCTTGCAGGTTTTGAAAATATTCCAATAGATTTTTTTAACATTAGAGTTTATTTGTTTTAATTGATACTTGTTTAATCATATGTCCTATTTGTGATTTTTTTTTTTTTTATCTGACGAAAGTAGCATCCCAATTGAGGCACAAATATAAGGGAAAACTACAATAATTAAATATACATTAGAAACTATTATTTAGGTCTAAAATACCTTCCAAACTTTTATTCCAAAATACTAAAAAATAACCCTCATAAATTAAATAATTCTTTTGATTTATGAAACTTAGAAAAATAAGTTTTTGAGTCGACTTTCAGACATTTTTGGCACTGAACTTTAACGATATCTCCTAATCTATATCAGTTCAAACCTGCAAATGTTAATTTAGAAATATAAAAACCATATCTCCTAATTTATACTAATACAAACCTACATGTGTGAAACTTTCTGGTGCAATGAAAAAAAAATATATATATATATATACACACACACACACACATACACATACAATACACACACACAAGAGAGGGAGATCATAAAAAATAAAAATAAATAAAAAACTAAATAATTACTTCGGTAAATAATACATCAACAATCATTATTTTATTTATAAAACGAGTGTTCCAAAGTTCTCCGTTAATAAATATGAGGTCTAATATATATATTGTAAAATATTACTGCTTTCTATAGGTTTGGTTCCAGTTTAGGCCTCACGCTCTCGTTAAACCCCTTCAAAAGATGGATTTGTTTGCTACTCAGCCTCTCTCTATATGTTTATAGTATATAGAACATGAATTAGGCGCACTCGTGTTTTTTTTTTTGAAAGTTCAATTTCATATATAAGTATAAACAAATGTACAGACCTAAGAGCCAGTGTGATGGGTTAGCCCAAGACTAACCATAACACCATACATACTCCATTGAGGATTGACCCAAGCCCATTAAGGTAGCCCATCCCCTAAAATCCAAATGCCCAGTTCTAAGTGTCAAAAAGCCTCCGCATCCGTCCTGAGAGAAAAATTCTCAATTAGCGCTTCTTTCCTTTTTCGAAATTATATCTTTTTTTTCTTTTTTTTTTTTATTATTTTGACTGGAACCGGAACTCACCTAGGCACAGACCTCTCGGGACCCACCCCAAGCTACAAACCGGAGATGCTATCGACGGCCCCACACCTCAGCAACATTTGAAATTATATCTTGTGTCTTCTGACTTTAATGGTTTATTCTATTTCTTTTTTTTATACCAAACAAGTCCTTTGTTTCCTTAATTGGTTGCGTGTTAGTTTCCTTAAGTTGTCTATTAGGTGTAAGTTTCCTTAATGAGTTAGATGTTAGTTTTCTTAGATTGTCTGTAACGTACAAAGTTTGATTAGGTTTTGTTCATTATAAATATGGAGAGAGGGAGCAGAATTGTTCATTGATAAATAAAACTTTCATAGTTACAGTACACACTCATAAAGGTCGATATTAATGATAATACTAGCAGTGATGATGATTCCTATGATGGACCCAATTATAAAATTGTAGTGCCAGGTTCTTTGGAGTGCTCACATAAGCCATATCTTGTGGAGGCATCCAATGGAGAGTTACTGCTGATTGGAAGGCTTCATTTTAGTGATGAAGAAAATTACGAGCACTTTGACAAGACGATAGATTTCAAGGTTTACAGGCTCACGAAGCATTCAACTGAAGGAAAGGACGGAGATCAAAGTGGGTAGAAATTAATAATTTGGGTGATTATGCAGTGTTCTTGGGTGATAGCCATGTTGAAAATAAACTTAATTTTAGAATTTTAGTTGTAATTAGTATTTTTAAGTATTTGATATACTTGATGCATGTGTGCATTTCATGTTAGTGAGGTAGTAAATGATATTGATGGAGAAAGTTATGTAAGACTAAGAGGTAAGAGAATTAAGTCTCCTAAATATTATGTTAGTAGGAGTTATGCTACTAATGGTTATGTTAGTGGGAGTAATGGGAGTAATTAAGCATTGAAATGTAATTGGTTACATATGTCTTAGAGCCTAAATAAACTCGTGTACTATACCTATTTTATGTGTGTAGAAGAATAAGTAAGATACAAGTGAAATAATATATTTCTTCCTCCATTTCTCTTTCAAATTATATAGAGTTGCATTTGTTTGTATAGCCCAGTATTTTTAACAAAGTGGTATCAGAGCAAAGCCAGAAAGTGGTATCAAAGAAATAGCCAACAAAGTGGTATCAGAGCCAAGTTCCATATCTAAGCCAGGTCATTATTAGAGACAAATTTCATGTTCAGAACCTAGACGATCCTGAAGGCCCGACGAAGTTGATCCTAGAAGCTTCAACATTTTTAGAAAAACACGTTTCTCCTTGATGATGATGAAGACGGAAAAATGTTTTTTCTCAGTGAGAAGATGATGTTCTCTAATTACAAAAGAATGAGAATCATCATGACTTCATACCTCAAAGCATGTGATTTGTGGGATGTTGTTGGAGAAGAGCCAAAGAATGGCATGTCCAACAAGATTCGTGTGAAGAAAGAAGAGAATGCATTAGTAGTGTTGCAAAAGGCAATACATTAAGAAATTTGGGAGTATTTTGGAGAGTCCAAAACTCCAAGTTGTGTTTGGAAGATGTAATACCCTTATGCTACGTTTGGTGTGCATGAATAGAATGGAATGGAATGCCCATTCCAACCATTCCTTTGTTTGGTATGCTACTTAAAGTTGGAATGGCCATTCCATTGGAATGAAAATCCATTCCATAAATAAACCTATGGAATGGTCATTCCATTCCCAAGTAATTTATTTTAAAAAATCGACTTCCCAAAACACCCTCATATTCCAAGTCTAAAAACCACTATTACCTTCCACCACTACCACTGCCTTCCAACACCACTGACTTTCGCCATCGCCCACCACTTTCCACCACCACCACCGCTAGCGCCACCGTTTGCCGCAACCACCACCACCGCTACTTTCACCACCTTCCAACACCATTACTGCCATTACCTTTCACCACCTTCCACCACCACGGCCGCCATCGCCTTTCACCACTGCCACCATCTTCTACCACCACCACTGCTACCGCCTTTCACTACCACCACCACCTTCCACCACCGCCACGCCATAGCCTTACGCCACCACTGCCGCCTTCCACCACCACCACCGCCGCAACCACCTTTCACCACCATCGCCATTGCCGCTGCCTTCAACAACCACCAAAGTCGCCGCCATCGCCTTCTACCACTTTCCATTACCACCACCACCACCACCTTCCACCACCGCCACTGCCACCACCTTCCACCACCGCCACCACCACCTTTCACCATCGCCGCCACCACCACCACCTACACTACTACCGCTTTCCACCATCCACCACCGTCACTGCCACTATTTATTTTTAAAAAATTATTAGAGAATATCATTTTGTTAATTTAATTTAATTTATTTGTTACTAAGAGGGATATTTTGGAGAATTCAATTAGAAATTTATTCCATTCTAAATTTTAAATTGGTCCAACCAAACACTAGAATGGTTATTATCATTTCATTCCTACACATTTCATATTTACAACCAAACAATAGAATGAAAATGACCATTCCATTCTATTCCCAATCTCATTCCATTCCCACTTGCATTCCATTGCATTCCTGCACACCAAACGTAGCATTAATTTCAAAAGGATAGTCCTGGTATTTTCCTTTATTGTTTAAATTTAAAATTTTTATTGTTTAAATGTATATGTGTTTATTTAATTTTAAATGTATATGTG